TGTCCAATATAAGACAATGTTAACTGGCATCTTATAACATAAGGAAAATTAATCCCCTTAAAAAAGACCGTACTTGGTGTATAATGAAAGAAAAAAAAGTCACGTGATGATATAAACTCTTAGAGGTGTAACGAAATTCTAAAAATGATTCTGTCTTATTAACATTTTCCTGGCCTCATAATTATTTTTCAAGCTAGGAGCAAGTCACTTTTGTTAACCATGCTCCAAACACATAAGCCAGAGCATTATTTTCACACAACTTCATGAGTATGTAGTTATTGTCAGAAGACCTTGAATTCACCTCTTTGGTTTGAATACATGTTCCTTGCTTCTTATTATGACAACGTTTTATCTGACAAAAAGTTCCATTTAAATAATAGTGACAACAAAAGTGTTAATAAAAGCGCCTGAGTAAAATGAAATTAATTCTGAAATGTTTACACGTCAATTTAAACAGCTTATTTAAGAAATTATAACGCCTATTTTTACCTTTTTTGGTGTTTATTCTTACCGATTCAAATGAAAGGTTTTCGAACATAAAAAATTGAAATTTAGTTACGAATAATATTTGAAATCACGTGACGGAATATGTAGTTATGTCACAACCATGACGGATTCAATAATGGAAATAGTTGAGTAACTTTCAATGCATGCGGTAATGACAATGAGAGCAATGAGCATTCGCCTGTATGTTTATTACATATTCTCATGCGTACCAAATATGTCACATTAGCCACATATTTCGTCACGCAGTTTGCAGTTTGTTTGATATTAATTAATAGTGATGCGAAAATGATAAAAAATTAAAGAAACAATAGTGGAAATCACAATATGCTGATTCTATGAGGAAAATTAGAAAGACCCAGAGAGCTTGAAATCTGTGTGGTAGGTGGACCTGTGGATGAAAACGGAACATGGTGGTGGATAGAGATTGAAAATGCATCAGGCAACTGTGCGAAATCAGATTAGCGCAATTCGCAATGTGCTTTAACCTTTTTAATTAGCTTCGTAATGACCAACAAATGTTTGAATGTTATCGTTGTTTTTGTCGTTTCTGGTGGCATTCAACCGACGTTGGTGGTCTTGGTGTTCTTCAAGCTTGGAATGCAGAACGGGGAGAATCTAGAGACCGTTTTGTAGTAGAGAATAATACTAACGGTCGATAATAGTAGTATCCTCTAATATTTCCGGACGACTTCATAAGAAAACGAGTTATTAGTTAGCTTTTTTGGTCAGATTCCATTTTTCACAATTATATGCTTTACGAATTGTCGTCGGAATCTCGAGACCTTCGTGTTGGCCTTACTGTAAAACTGACAATTGATCGAGGTAAAGTAGTTCGAAGACATATTCATCTTTCATCTCAATATAACATCAGATAACTAAGATTCAGCTCATCAAAGAAAGAATATTACCTCCGGAACGATGACTGCCTTCGTTCACATAGGGCGATGTCCGCAAAAGATATCTGAGAAGACATTTCCCTGACCTTTCTACGCCATTCACTTCACACATCACTCGACGCAATGAACACAGCTTTTGAATGAGAATGGCTGAATTTGCGAGTTTGCGGGCTTTTGTCAGGAGTAGCAGGATTGTAAGCGTACAGTTAAATTCCTTTGAGTCTCCAGACGTCCGTCTGGGGACTGTTGCGATGCGCGTCTGTCAGCCCCAAGGGTTCCGCCTCTTTGGCTGTGTGCGCGTGCAGATGCGCGGAAGTCGAAACGCTACTCGATGTCGCTGATCGAGACCTCGATTCGTACCTCGATTTGATGGTGAGTCATCCCCGGATGCATTACTCGTTCGAAACGTAAGTGTTCTACTTGGCAACTGGACAGATTGCGCTAGTTTAGTCAGGATGCTTTTTTTTTATTTATGAGGAAAGCCTGTTTAATACGGTTGGAATATTTTACAGATCATTCGATAGGTGAGTTTCTGTGGGAAATATATTTATTCCGTTGGTAAGTATTCAACGGAATTCAGATTTATGGTATAATTGTTTGTTAAGATGCTTATTTAAACAAATAATAAATATAAGGAACTAATTCACTTGATTAATACGAAAAAATCAATTCAATTGAATTGAGATGATACTTAAAATAATTAAGTAAAGGTATAAATATTAATATAAATAAAAATGTTCCAACATTTTGCACCAGCAAGGTGTGCTTCAAGACTTAAAAAAGTTTAAAAAATGAAAAAAGAAACTATTTTGTATTCTTGCTTAATGTTTTATTTCAACCTACGAAAAATAACGGTTAAAAAGGAGGTTCGTTGTTTTTCTTAATCACCAGTTATCAGAAAATGACTGTCACAGAAATTTTCATCGCAAGAGCTATTTCATAATTTCGTTCAAACAATTATTGAAATATGGTTGAATAATTTTGTTCATGCAGGTATTTTATGGACGCTGAATTCGTGAAACTCTGCAGCTATTTCATGATTACGCTATGTTGATATATTTCGTCGCAGCTTTTTTTTTAGTTTTCGTCACACTTTATACCTGACTACCTGATCTCTAGTTTTCTCGGAACGACCATTCAGACACATGACTTGACTCTTCAACTACGTGATATTAACAGTTTTCATTTCCTTTGCAATTATGGTGTTTTATTATCGTGAAGTTATTATTAATTTTACAGCTTTACTTTCGTTTCATTGAATGAAGAGCAATAATCAGCATTCGTTGAACGAAATATAATCACTCTTGTTTTTTTGTTGATGCTTCGGTAACTATAAATTACGAGTGCAATAAAGGTCGTTCTAGCCGGGGTAGAGCAAAACGATTAATACGGTTTAACATTAAAAGCTGTAACAATCTGTGACCTCAAAACAATAAAATATAATGTGAATACTAGTTTATACAAATACTGGTATTTAGTAGCAATACAAGTACTAATGCTAGTATTTAGGATCTGGCGCTTTTAAACAATCGTGTAATAGACGATACACAATATCAAGTTGCCTCTAATATAATATTATAGTAATACGGCGGTGCTCGTTTTCTGCGTTTTTTGTAACCGTATGAAAGAGAGATGATTTTCTATTGAGATCATTAACGCATGGCGTTCCTCCAAGTTAAAAAATTCTGCTTGATCTGGATAAAGGCATCATTGTTTTGTTCAATAATATCAGTACGTCAGTGTTTTACACTAAAATATTACTTCAATCTTACGGACGGGAGTCTCTTTGATTTACTAATCCAACATATTTGGAGTTACAGGTAGTCACTGCATAGGCATTACCATACCATTCAACATTTTAACTCTTTCAGGCGGTATCATATCGAGTACGACAAACTACTAGAGCACGCTTGGGATATATTGATTCAAGTAATACATCATACACTTAATTAGCAGTTTGCTAACTGAATTTTAATAATTCATGTATTCATTTACGTGCAGAACAATTGCCTTTCAAATACGACCGGCCTCCCTTGGGAAATACACTTTTCCTCGCGGCATTATACTCCTGCGTGTTTCAATATCTCTACTAAAAATCTATTAGTTCGTCTTGACGAGGGCGTGCATTGAATTTCGCGTGTTCGCCACCCGGGGCGCCCTTGTCGGCCAATGCCTCCTGGTGGCCCGCGGACGCGACGCGGCGTCGCGTCGACGGCGTCCTCCTGAAATTGATGGCGAATGGGAAAGGGTGGGGAGGGGGTGATGGAGGTGGTGATGGAGGGGGTGGGGAGGGGTGGGGATGGGAAGGACGTCGCAAGATGAACGACCGCCGTACAAAAAGGGGCGGAATAAGTTAATTAAAAAGGAGCCCCGCAACGGGGGGACGCGAGGCCTCGAAAGAAGATCGATATTGAGGGGGGCGATAATGAGAAGAATGGGCGAGCGTTGCGCCGTGAAATAGCTCTTGTTACGTCCGCAACGCAAGAAGGACGACGACGACGACGACGATGATGATGACGACGACGGCTGCTACTGAGACCCGGGAAGCAAGGTCGTTGGTTCGGGCAGGAGAGGAATGCGAATTTATGTTGAAAGTGACAGTGGTCGGGTGATAATTTTTCATTTGAGATATTAGTTTTTTTTCAACATTCAATTAAAACGTTGAAGTGAAAAAGCTTCTGTGCAAGATCACTTCTTTATCTTCAGTTCTTAAAGGGAAACAGAATAAACAGAGGTGGAGCTTTTTGATTGTTTTGCCCATAAGTTGCATGTACCCTTAATATAGTGCTTACTACAAGTAGTAGTAGACAGTTATGGGAGATAGGGATTATTCATGACTGATGGTTCTATATCATGAACTAAGTATCAATGTAAACTAATAGCAACTACCTGGCGATTTGCAATAAATCGCATTATTAACTCATCCCTACCTTGAAATTATGAATCTCATTTAATTGAGAGCTTTTTGTATTCGATAATTTGTCAACAGTAAATAATGATCGCAGTAATGTCAAAAGAAATTGAATTACTTGTCTTTTCGATTCTGCATATTTATCTTAAACAATTAAAGATATGCGTAAGCAGAAAGTCATTATGTACATTGTACTTTAGCCAAGCAAAGCCGTAACAATCTTGTCTTTACAAGCGATTATTGCTCTTTAACAAAAAGGATTATTTCATAATTCTTGTAATCCTGATTTTAATGAGAGATGGTATCATAGGGTTTCCAAAAATAATTTTAGGTAAATCGATGGCATGTTTATGAAGCAATACAATTTTATATGTTACGAACATTCTCAGTGTTTTTGTGCATTTCTATTTTTCATACGATTTATTTGGTTTGTAAAAATGAGTCCAAAAATGAGTTTCACAAAAATAATTAATTTCATATGTCAGTATTTTTTTAGCATTATATTATCTTTTAGATACCTACGTTGCCTCTACGGTACACACTTCTTTGAAATCCGAATTGCACAATGTACAGTTCACAATCTTACAGCACACACCATATTTCTAACCTAATTACCTAAAAACTTCACAATTTTCGCGCTGGTCTGCTGCCCCAGCATGTGAACAAGGTACTTACGTGTGAGGCACGTGTGCCTGCGGAACTGCAGGAAGCCCGGCTCGCAGCGGCAGAGGCCCTGGAGACAGCTGCTGTTGGCCACCTTCAGGGAGCACTGTTCCTTCACCACGCATGGAAAGCCCAGGAGAGACGCTGCAACACACCGTTGAGACTTCGTTAGCGTCATACTTTCAATTCAGTGCACATTTTGTGGGCATAATTCGAAAAGTACCCACATGTATGTTTCGGGCAGTATCTCTGAAATATGTAAACACGAAAATGACCGACACATGTATTGATGTAGTGGATACAATATGGAAAATGTTCGTCTGGAATGTTGTTTGCTGAGCTTCATGTTTTCTGTAACTACATGGCATTGAAACCTTCATTTAAAAACGATGATTTTCAAAATGCAGAGAATAAGCAACTATCGACAATTTTTAAAACAATAAAATTTCTATCACATAAATTCTTTCAAGAGATTTTTAATTTTCGAAGACAATTCCTCATGTCAGATTTCATGATGATGTTAAAGTTGAATTTAATTTTGTGGAAAATATACGTACGTTTTGAATGCTTTCTGCTTCCTTTGTTCTAAAGCCGTGGTTCTTTCAATAACGAACACCGTATATCTGATTATATTAATCAGTGTATGTCTCGTTTTTAGGCGAATTAAAAATAAAATCCTAAATCTTTCAATAGTTCAATAGCTCTTGTATAGATTGATATTTTTATACCTGCGCGCGCGTGTATGTATGTGATTATATATGAATGTGTGTGTGCAGAATCTCTTTGGCACTCGCAGCCTCTTAAGTTGAGATATTCAGTACCTTTTAAATTCAGTATTTTGTCTCAAATTGTTTGCGGATTGTCGCTACAAATTAGCGGCGCCTTCTGAATTATATTTCCCTGCAGTCATCTTCAATCCATGTGGCTACGATCGAAATATTTTCTATTCAGCTCAGACGGAGCGCATTTAAAGTTGTCTTGAAAAGAAAAATAATACTATGTTATACAACGAGTGTTAATGAGTTTTAATGGCGAGGCTGGAAAATTAATCGAGAAGGCGTCACTAGCTAGATAGCTAGATCGAATTCAGTCGCTCTCAGGAGGAGGCTTCTAGCGGCCGGCTGCTCCGATCCAGTAGTTTTCCGTGATTTATCCGATCAACACCAGCCGAACGCTGGAGCAGTACGATAGCAAACGGGCCAAGGATCGCGTGCGAACTTTCCTTCCTCCTTCTTGTCCTAACCTCACCCTTTACACACACTTAAACTAACACGCACTCCACTAACACACTTGTGGGGTGGCCAGTCGGAAGCTTAGAGCTTGTTCCGGCTGGGGCGGTGCCCCGCTGGCGGAAGATACCAGGTGGGGCGGGGGGAGGCCGTTAGCCGACAACAGGTCGTCGTAGAATCTCATCATCCGGCGGGTGAAGATCACTTCCACCTCTCAAGAAAAACATGCACTTTACTTGCAGGACTAATGAACTTAGCAGCGCCCGATATCACTGATCAATCAATCAATCAAAAAAAACTTTCTTGAAGTACGAAATATTTCAACTTAAGAAAATTCAAGCAATGAAACGACATAATATTTTTAAATAATCGAACCCTCTTTGAGAAATTCGTGTTTAGTTCCTTTGTGGCATTATTGAAGTCTACAACCTTCGACTTTTCAGATCCTAGATAAGTAGCACACTCACAGAAATAAGAGTATAGGGTCTCTCTTTTCGTTCAGTATGTTCACAAAGTATTATTTCTCTTCATTATCATAAATTTCTCTCCTAGTGAGCTGCGGATAATTTGCATACAAAGTTCAACGTTCTTACAAATGCGCGGTAGTTTCTTGATAATTGCCCGCCAAGTTACGCAGTTGAGAGTAACTCCCTGGGAGGCCGTCATGTAAGTTTCCCGATGAAATCGCGCATTATAAGGGAGGGCACCATCAAGTTCATTATGGCCGCAGCGATTCATCTCCTTCGATTAGCAGACCTGCCCCACCTCCGCCTTGGGGCGAGTCACCGAACGCGGTATTGCCAGATGAGGAGAATTTCGGCCATTAAGGCGTCCTTGCCTTATGACGAAGAAAATTCGCACTTGATGACCTGGCAATTTAAATGTGTACTTCGAGTTTAAATGCTCACAATGAGTGATGCTCACTGCGAGTAATGAGACTCGCAGATTGTCCTGGCCCTGGTGGTGCGCGAATAGTTCACGTACATTTCCATATGCAGATTTCATTGCAGTATTCAGCAGGTACAATGCGTTTGTGGTATTTTTTTCCCATGAAGATACTTCTTACTGACTAATTAATCTCTCTCTATATATAGGCATTCTTAGTGGAGTAATTGATTAATTTCTCACAAAATATTGGTCAAAACTGAGGAATGAATAGCAGTTGATTATAAAAAGCTACGGATTCAAAATATAGAATTTAACGCTTACAAAACTATTTATTTCAGTATGTGTTCTCAAACGCGATATTTTTGCGAAACAAATAACACATTATTAATAATTAAAAATCTTTTTATTACTTAATATCACTGGTTGAATCGTAATATATGCATTAAAAATATGATAACATATTTTTTTAAATTATTCTACTTTCAGTTCAGTTTCAGCGAACATAATTTTGTAGATAGCCGAAATCAGATGAACAGTTTATTGTGAATATAAAAAATAAAGTATTTTTTCAGTTGTATCATATAAATATTAAAATATATTATGTTCCTGAAATGTTTTCACTAGTTTACTACCTTGAATACACCTAACAACACCTAAATAGGACGAATTAATTGAAGAATTAATACGCATCTGTGTTGATCTTTAACCTATACGAGAAGTGGTTGAAGGCAATTAATAATATATAGTGAGTATGATTACGTAATAGTGTAGATACTGAAATGACAAAAAAAGATGAACCGGGATTGTACAGAGTGGATTGAAACGGTGTTGTCTCTGAATAAAGGTCACAAACTTTGTCACGAAGAGGGTTAAAAAATGATCACTTTTTCACACATTGACATATAGAAATTGTATGTAACGGAGTTATTTGCATTTGTACAAATGAAATTTGCTTCATAACTCCTTCTACATAGGTTTTGTCAGGTACAAGTCAGGTACAATCATCTTGACTGCGTCATAACGTGACCTGCTGAAAATTTGTTCGTAGGATGTAGCATAAATTATCCAGGGAAACTGTCACATGAGTAACTTCGTTACATGAATTCCGTGGTGGTAGCAGATGTCTTGGGGTAATCCATAATACGAATTAGGAAATAATCAACCACAACATTCACAGTTGTAATATTTATTACCACATACCCAAAGTTAACCTCCGGGAAATATTTACCCGTCTTCAGGGGGTTGCCCAAGCAACGTGGTTCACATTTAAACATGGAGAAGTGATTATGAAGATGGGAAAAGAAAGTTTCCCGAAAGTTAACTTTCGGCATGTTGAAATAAATATTATAACCGAGATTGTTATGGTTGATTATTTCCTAACTTACAATCACATATGAAATTTTCCACCATTTGTCATTGTCAAAAATATATCTTTCCTTCTACACGCCCTAGAAGATGGTACAATTTAGTACATTTGGAAAAGATCTCGAATATTTTCGATTACAAATTCCTAGTGAAGAAAGCACTTCTGTGACTCTGATAAGAAGAAAATAATATAACTGTTTGTGATTGCTCGAGGTGTAAATGGATGAATTGTAATAATCAATCTTTAATTAAACATGTAACAATGTCATAAGCAGAAATGTTTAAGATAGGTACTTGTTTACGTACTATAACTATTTGAGATTAAACTTATCAAATATTTATCTTAATCATTTTTAGGAGAAAAGTCCGAATTTCGTATTTTTCTCCTGAAAATGATTATGATAAATATTTGGAAAGTTTAATTTCAAGAAGTAGGAAGTCTGCTGTATTCAGATAGACTTGAAGAGGTACTGTAATAAAAAGGGAAAATTATTCAAGTTATGAAGAAACTGAACTTAGAGCATTTACTGAAAATCATACACTGTTTTTAAAACTCTATTTTATGAATATATGTTAAGTATTTTTCTGATTGACGTTTTTAATTAATTCCAGAACTCAACCCATTCTTCTGAATTTCCGTATATCGGAATTGGCTCTTTCTCGGTTAATTCTGACAAATTGAATTTTACTTTGTTTTTATGCAACGTTCGCTATTTGCTATATAACGTTTTCTCTGTTTAGTTATACTTCTGAAGCGTTATTGCTCAATCGCAAGGCAACCGCGTCCGAACTCCATTAGCCGACGATCGCTGTAATGGAGCGGCAGCTTCCAGCGGTCGCCGGCGCAGGAAGGGGAGGGGTGGAGAAGGAGGAGGAGGGGGAGGGGAGGGGAAGGAAAGTTGGCTTCTGAAGCGAGGGAGGGCGCGGCGCCGAGATGTCTCCCTGGGCGAACAAGTTTTGCGCAAGTGACTCCCTTTCTCCCCTCCCGTCCACCCCTCTCCCCTACATCGTCCTTTCCTCTATCCTCCCCCAGTGCTTTTCCCTTCCCTCCCTCATCATCACCCTCTACCCTCCCTCGATTTTCCTTCACCCCTCCCTCACTACTCCATTCTTCTTCCTTCATCAATTCCGCACTATTTCGTCCTTTTTCCTTCGCCCCTCCTTCTCCTCTCTATCCCTCTCTGCCCTTCTCTAGTCCTTTTCCCTTCTCTCCCATCCCTTCCCTCATCCTCATCCGCTACCCTCCCTATTTATTACCTATTCCGTCCTTTCTTCCTTCACCCGTTCCTCCCTATTTCATCGTCCTTTCTTCACTCCTCCTTCCCGCTCATTGGCCTATCTTCACCCTTCCAATGCACTCCTTCGTCTTTCCTTTTCATGCCTTCCCACCCCTCGTCCTTACCTCTACCCTCCCTCGTTCTTCTCTCGTTTCCATACTCGCTCGCCCCCGCAGGCACGGTGTGGCAATCTGGCCAACGAGGTCGCTCCCTCGGGCGGCAAGATGCTGTAATAAAGGGCGCCAGTGAAAAGATGGTAATCCTGTCTTTTTGATACGTAACTTTGTCCCGTCTTATGTGCCAGTTTTGGTTAGGAGATGCGTTTTGAAAGGAAGATAATATCTAAAATTGTCGAGAAAGAAATTAAGGCCGTAATATATACGTGTTTTAGATCATCTGTGCGTTGGTATGCGACCCTTCGTAAGAGATTCCCCCAAAATCTTTTAATTTTATCAACGCTTCAAGGCTTTTTTGGGGGGGGGGTTCACCACACTGCGCTCAATTAACTTCACCCCTATTAACATTGATTCTCGAAGAATTCAAGAGCTTTATTTTAATTTGTAAAGAAAAAAAATCATGGTCTCGAAAAAAACATCTCACACTTAAAGCATCCGTAATGATTATTTTAAAGCAAGGAATAATTTTGTACTTTTGAACCTGGCATTATATCAATAATATGCTGGCTTAATTATCAACACCGTTTGATTTTTTTTGATTTTACTGATACATATTAATGTTAGAAATGGAATATAATTAACCTACCATCTTTAGACTTTACGCGTTTTTTACTTCTACCGAATTTTATGTCATGTGGAAGTTTTAGGCTTGCACATGTAATTATGATACGTGATGTAATTGATGATGTAAATATTCCTATAGTCATCTACTTTAATTCTTGAATATTTGTTTACAACTCGAAGAAAACTTTTAAATGGAAGAAACTATCTTCAGAATTTAATTTTAACTTCCTTATAAACTCAAATCCCTTTCATAACAACAATTTAACTTGTTCACTTTTTGTTAATTCCTTTTACTTGTTTTACAATTTTCATTTCACAATACCACTTGAAAGGCTATTAGCTATTGTTATAGATATTTGATAGAAGTTTCTTGGATAACTATCTTGGATTTTTACAATAAAAAAATATAATCACGTCTTCGATGCTGTTTGACAGATGATGTGAAATCTCAGGATCGTTGCTCAGCCAAGGAGGGAGGTACGAGGAAATGGAGAGTTACTCCCCACGCTCCCCTTTGCACACGAAATATGCGTCCGGAAAAGTGAGTAGAGTGAGCAGCGTTGCAACGAGGAGTGTCTGCAGTCCCGTTGGCTGTGGGAAGCGAGTTCATAGCCCGGCTGGCACGTGCAAGTTTCCATTCTGTCCAGGGTTCTTCGGGGTTATCTTATTACCCGACGCTGCTCAGGAGACCTCTTAGCCACATCTTGCTCCTTCGTGTGCCATGCTGGTCACGCAGTGGCTTTGAAGTACTTGGCACACAACAGCCCGGGTAGAATTAGTTTACCTTACCTGAAGCTCACTGTAACGTGGGTACGCGCTGCGCATCTAATTTAATGGTCTTCGGTTTTACTTGCCGGCTATATTCAATATTTTCTCACTCCTCAAACATTTTGTTATGTATTTTTCAGGTTATATTCAGTGACGATAAATTTAATGGTTATATACATTTTTTAGCTTTCAGAAAATTTTCACTTTTCATAGGAGGAGATGGAAAGGGAACAGTACGAAGGGTTTTCGGAAAAAGTAGAAAAAGGAGAGTCTAGCAGATGGTATTATAATGATCCGAATGGGAAAAAGAAAGACAGATTTCTTTAGACAAAGAGGATGCGCGGCAGAAAGGTAAGAAGGGGCAGAGAGGAATAATGAGATATGAAGAAAATATTAAGAGAAATAGTGAGTAACAAGAGCTGGAGGCGTTTGAGAAAATTCTTAACGCACAGCATGAATAACTGCAAAATAACAGCATGAATAAAGAAATAACTCCAGAATAGACTAAGATAAATAAATTGAATAAGAAAACAAAATAGTATTATGAGGATAGCGAGATTCAGGTGAGGCTATGAGGTTAGGTACAGAAGATACCGAATTCTGACTGTGGAGAAAAAAAAGTAGGGTATGTGAGGGGGAGGAAGAGTTATGTGAGCATGTAATGGTAAGTAGAATGAAAGATGTCAGGTTAGAAGGGAGAGATAATTTAGAGAGAGCAAGTTCTACTGAATTATGAAGTGGGGGAGAAAGAGACGTAAGAAATTGAGAAAAGAAGAAAATGGAATGGGGAATGACAACACGGGAGAAATACGGTTAATGGAAAGTGTTGTGAAGGTGTAAAAAGCATGAATATAGTTGTGTAAAGTATGTAATGAATGTAAAGTTGTAAACTGAGAAGTAGAAAGTGCGAATCTAAAATGTATCTTCGTGAGGAGAATGGTGAAAATAAACTTGAACTTGAACTTGAACTAGAATATTTCATATTAGTTTCTCATAATTATCATGTCGGTGTTATTTGTCTTAAGAGTTAAATGTCCTTGGCTTATGTTTTAGGAACGTGGCTAATATACATTTTCACTGATATGTATGTTAATTCTAATGATAATTCTACATGTACCAAAAATTGCTTCGAAGAAAACAGAAAGTAGAAAACAAATGTGATGCAGAATAGATAAATTAATGGAAGGAGTATACAAGAGCAAGTTATTTTTCTTATTCCTATACATTGATAAATATGAAATGATGTCCCAACTTGTTGTCCTCACAGGCACATCTATTAATCATAGCCAGAAGACAAAGACATTAGGAGCGTGTATGAAAGGAAACATGACTGCAATAAACGTGCACAGAAGACATGCCATTTCCATCTTCACGACGGGTAAATTGGGTAATACTGCTAACAATGTGATCATAAATATACTCCGCTCCTGACTTTCCTTGTGTGGGTGCAAAATTGACACAAGAAGGAAAATAATGTAACTGAATTTAATGCCTAGCCATTTTTAACTTCTCTAAAACGATATTCTGCAATTAGGATAGGAATGACATGATTTGTATGTAATACAGAATTATACAAATAATACAAGCTACAGTAACAGATAGCTTAGATTTGATCCAATCATATATTAATGTGTAATAATATTATAAGGTTCAGCGAGTAAATTCACCGCAGTGCACTCGTAGTTCATTTATAGTTGTTAGATGCCACTGAATAATTTGATATTCCTTAATCTCGCATTTTGTATGAAGACGCAAATTGGATTACTTGAGTAAGTGCCCTTCATTTTCCATCACACTCGCAACTCTACCAGCACCTGTCAGTTTTCTTGGACAGTTTCTGTCAGATTTCTTGGACGATTTCCGCTCCAGTGATGGGTAGACATCGCGTCTACATTTCGAGGAGATGCTCTCAAAGGAGAATGATGATGTTCGGAGAGCCAACTAGAAAGGTTTCACATTCGGTTGGCTCTTGTCTTGCGGATGCGAAGTGCCTTCAGGCGGAGCAAGATTGTAATGAGACGAGCAATGCGCTCCCTCGTTTTCAGTTGTAGAGCAGAGGAGCCGTATTTCTGCTGACAGGTTCCAGGATCTGACAATGCCGTGAGAATTCCTAAACAATGAGATGCATGAGTATCCTCGAAAGGAAATCCGCAACTGCACACAAATATTAAGGAAACCTAATAACCACGTTAGTACGATACTATTTACAGTAATTGAGGAAACACTACACAAATGCTTGTATGATTAACGCGTTGTAAAAGTAAACATTTGGGGGAAAACTTTTAATATTCTTTTCAGAATGGAGTAAATGACTTTTGACATTCATCAACTGAATCTACAATATTTAAGTTAAGGGAACCTTTGAGGTGGATAAGATTTTTACGTATTCAGTTCTATTAATGAAGAAACTTTGTTATTTATCAGTTGATATTTTCGAGGCACTAATAGTTTCAAAATGTAAATCAAAATTCTTATTTTTAATAATTTTACATATTTATTATAATGATTTATTTTGTTGTGTGAAATTCACTGTCTTCTTGTTCTAGGTTCTTCGCACAAGTTTCTTTATTTATGTGATTCTTAAAAATTTTATTCATCACCATAACTGTCGAGTTAATTGCAATACAACAGTAAAAATTCGTCTGGGAATCAATAAATGTAAAATGGCATGCAAATTACAATTTTTCTTCTTTGTAAATTTATTTAGATGATTTTTAACAGTATCGAATATTTAAATTTATTGAAATGCGCCTGATGCTTTGTCCAATGATTTGTACATCATAATGAAAGAAATTCAATTAAATGCGTGTGATTGAACAATCTAATTTTAACTCTTTTACATTTGTGTCCAACGTTAAAAGCAATCAATACAGAGCAATACAGCGTGTAATTTCACCCACAAAGGTTTTACGCACGTCTAAACAAACATGGTCCAATAACAGAACAATTACAAATGTGTAACCCTCTGCCGCTTTCGATCGTTGCTTGCAGTTTCTGTGGATATTGTATTTCGATAGGCGTGCTACTAAAATACGCGAATGTATTGTCTAGCCTTTATACTGCTATATGCTGAAGTGCATTCTACTTATTATGTAAATTATCATGGCCATTTTTATACTGGAAATTGTGGAAGTGTGAATGCATTAGAAAAGGTATGAATTCAAAATATTGGTGACAATTAGTAATAAATCAAGTCTAAAATGCTATTAAAATGTGAATTTTAAATAATTTTCTTTGGCGTGGTTAGTGTTACATTTCATACTGAAGTTAAGGACGGGAGTAAGTCATTGTTGTGTTGCACCGAATGCAGAGAAAAAGAAGAGTAAACCACGCCAACGATAATATCATAATTCAAACCATTTTCAATTATTTACTTACTTGTACAATGTGGAGCCACATTTTGCCTACATACTTAATGATTACTACTTACTAAATGAATTAATTTGTGTTACTTGTAGTAGCTATCTTGGGAGTCCACGTTGTTGGTACTAATTGTAATATTGATGAATTATTAACAAAGAAAAGAATTGAAATCTATTTAGCTTTTTTAAAACTTTTCTATACATTCCCTCATACTTTTAATCTCCCACAATAACGGTTTTAAAAGATACGTTACTCAATGGGCTTACTAAAAAAAGTACCTACTACAACATGAATCTTGTAATTAATACTAAAAGGTAAGAGTATTTTGTATGAACAACTCGATACGAATAACTCTGAAGTAAACCGACGTTGCCATTTCTAAATAGGACATTGAATTAGCCATTTACTCTTGAGGTTGCATAGGTTATTACCCCACATATTTTGCTTCATATTTTTGACACAAGAAATACAGCACCTGCATAGATGAAGCTTCAGATACCTTTACAGAAAACTATTAGGAGAAGTAATATCTTTCTGTAATGTAAACGAAAACACAGAATATGTACGAGACTGTTCCGCTTGTCCTATGTTTGGGGTTTCCTGTTACACTTGACAGGGTGTTAGTAATACAGCAGAAAGTAGGCCTATCCTGAACATTGCACACATCAAATGTTTCTAATATTTTTTGCGATACAAATTAATTACAAAAGCTCTTGAAAATGTAAAAATTTTGACGTTTCATGACAGGAAATAGTTAATGAGAAAAATAACAATTATCACCAGATCTCTATTGTTTTGTCTTAATATATCTGTATTTTTTTCATTCACTTCTTTCTTATTGAAAAAATTCTCTTATATTAAGTCTTATAGTTTAAATAATATTGAAAACATGCAAGAAAACGCACGAACACTTATTAAATATTTTAAAAGCGCTGTTTGTTCAAGGGTTAAGCTCATGAGTCCGTTACCTTCATACCGAGGCATGCGACTGCTGCAGATTTAATTGTCAAGAAAAAATTTCAACTCATTTCTTTATTCCTTACCGCTCCAATCACGTTTAAATAATGTAATACTAAAATAACAGCGTATTAAATACCATATTAAATACTTCATGTGTAAGGAGGACCTCGCGACCTGAAAATTCCGACCTTTTATCTAACTAGAATTAGGTTGTTTCTACCATGATAAAAGTAGTAACGATCACGATTTCCAAGTAACTGTTGTGTTGTCAAAACATCTTTTTTATTTTTATTCCCTTGATTTCGTATAATAAAAGCTCTTCAATGCTGCTTCCACTGAAAGTCAAATAATATAAATATGAAAGAAAATGTTCCAATACTAGTAAACTGTTATTCAAATTCCGTTTTATTCACGTGGCCGTTAGCGACATACACTGGCATACGATCGCTTATGGATTAATGCACATATCAACCCATTTTTATCATTCCTTTCTGCCTCAGCCTAGTTTTGATAAAACTAATATATGCCGTTCGAATAAATCACACGCATTTCAAATGATTTCCAGTCCTACGGGAGAACATATTGAAAAATATCCTTTATTCTTCAGGAATTGCTTACTCCCATCACGAAGCAGTAAGCCATTCGATTTCGTTGACAGGAGAAAGCAGCAGGTTGGCGAACTCATTTTTTGGATAACACGCGCTTTTGCTACACTTATTTGTTTGTAAATTACT